CTACTTTATACAGAGCATCTTGCCTCGAAAACTTCACTTTGCCCATCGTGTAGAGCATCAAAAATAACCTAAAAGTCTCGCTTACACTTTTTTGAAAAAACGTGTGGAAAGTGGTTTTCTAGACACCCACAAACTGTTTTTACAGCATAACTTGAACAATTCAATTTTTCTTCGATGAATGTACTTGATAATTTTCAAGACTTTGGTGTCTGACACTCATACCAAAGTCTTGAAAATTATCAAATACATTCATCGAAGAAAAATTGAATTGTTCAAGTTATGCTGTAAAAACAGTTTGTCGATTGAGAGAAATGACTGATTTACTATTGCACATTGAGGAAAAATCGTAAGATATCAAATATAAATAAATGTTTTTTTCTCTCAAAAAGTAATATACTCATTTAGACCAAATATACGCCAATATCTCGATCCAAAGAAAATCGATTATTTTCTAAGTTGGATCATTGAATCTAATTTACTAGTATCTATACCTTGGGGAAGTACGAATTTAAAACTAGAAAATGGTGAACAACTTTCTATACCTCGTCAGATTTTACAAGCACAACACAGCCAAATTATTTATTTGTACAAGCAACATTGTTCTGTAGTTGGTATTGATTCAATGTCCGATAGAACTATATATTCTATATTAGAAAGTATACATGCTAGTAAATCAAAAGCTATTAGTGGTATTGATCAATTTGTTGCAACAGCTTTGGAAGGTTGGACAATTTTAAAAGACATTATCCAAAAAATTACCAATACCACCTCAAAATAAAAATGATATGAATGTTATGTTGGAAAACCATAAATATATTTGAAATCAAAATATGCAAGTCATTGTAGTGAAAACGAACATCCTGAAAAAATCTCGAAAAATTTTCGGAGCATTTAGGAGAAAATCGTGGTCAAACTTCAGGAATTTTTCAAGTAAATGGAGTATCATTCGAATGTAAAGTTAGATTGAAGCCAAATTCCTTCACCATTAGAATCAGCTCGTCAAGAGCTACAATTTGATGTATAATTATGTAATGTTTCGTTCATTTTCACCGACTTCGGTTTCACCCTCACCAAAAACTTGAGGTGTCTAGAAAACCACTTTCCACACGTTTTTTCAAAAAAGTGTAAGCGAGACTTTTAGGTTATTTTTGATGCTCTACACGATGGGCAAAGTGAAGTTTTCGAGGCAAGATGCTCTGTATAAAGTAG